CCCACCACCACCGCCGCCGCCACCACCTGCTTCTGTCCAGATGAATGGGAACTAGAAATCTCTTTTATACTTAATTAAAAGTTTTTTAAATGTACTATCTGCCTTTTTACTTGTCTCATCTTACTCTGATCTGAGTTAGTGCTTGTCAAACATAAAAATCTGACGTCAGTCCATGAAGTCTTTGTTTATTGGTTTGAACCAGCCACCTCAGGAGGTGAAGGCTGCCTGTTTGGGGTCCTCAGGATGCTGAGAACCACTGGATAGAGACTGTTGGCGATATGATTTAAAACCGTTCTCAGTGGTGTAGATGCATTCACTCTTTGTGATCTCCCACATCCATTTAACCCTCGTGTTCCTCCGCGTTACTATTGTTTCTCGCATATATTTCTGCTGATTATAGGTCTTTTTAAATTCTTTGCTTCCTTTGTCTACGTTTGTGTCATACGCGTAATGTGGCAACTTGAACTGATGCAAGTCTGTAAAAAGTTCTTTGTTGAGACTCAGTCAGTTAGCCACCCTGACCTACTGGGTTTGGGTTTACTTCCATTCTAATTAGTCGCGGCAATGACGAACCTTAAACTGGCATGACTGTCAAATTAGCTGCTACTTTATGCATCAGACGTATATAATTGCTCATATTACCGTGATGAGATTTGATTTCAATCAAAATGGCTTTAGATTCGTTGTGAGTTAAGCAAAAATGTTATGGAAGGAATTCTATCACAATTAGGTGGAATTATTCAATTTTTAATCGACTCAGGGTTTGAAACTGCATTGTGTATCGAGAATTTTTGAATCAGCTGTCAACTACAGATTGGATTTTGGGCTATCTAATTTGAAGCATATGAAGCAACCGCCAGTTAATTTCATAGGCGAGTAACTGTCCTCTTACCGGACTTGCTGGACCCCACTGGTGGTCATGACTTCTCACTGGAACTCCTGTATAAATCTAATCGCTACTGTGCTTAGTTATCAGGAAAGTGTTGTCTATAGATGGAATAATATTAAACAATTTTCATGCTTCATTGACTAATGCTAAACCAGAGGTCTTTTACCTAATGACGAGAATATCACAATATGCTCAGCGTCAGAAAGTTATTATTCTTTTTCAATGGGTTTCCGTAAACTTTTGTTTCATAAATCCCGGGGGGAGAGTTATTAATAATGAATTCTAAATTCATCGGATACATTATTATAGGGTGAAGCAATATTGATCTTAGTTGTCGAGTGTTAGTTAAATAGGGCAAGTCAATCGATGGAGTTGTGAAGTTGCATCCATTGTGGTGGCTAGGATATGTGTTACGCATGCTTAGCCATCGCCTTTCTCGAAGGTCTATGTTAGCTGACAAAGGATCAGGTTGGAAAAGAGTTAGTGGTGGTCAGACGGAAACTTGGTATCAGTCCATTGAATCTGTAGCAGTTAGCTTAAACCAGCCACATCGGGAGGTGTAGGCTTTCACTCTTTGTGACTTTGCATATCCATTAAACCCGATTGTTTTTCCTGCTACTCTATCTCCTCGCTTTTCTGGTTATTGTCATTCTTTCGATTCTCTCTTGTCTTACTTTGTGTACTACATAAGTACGACTTGGACTGGCACGCTTCTGTGCAAAGTTCTATTTTAATATATGAGTGTTCTTAAATGTATTATTAAGTTGAATCCCATATATCCTAGTGTTTTAGATATTTTTTGAATTTTCAACGGGAAAAGTAAAATTTATTTTTAAATCTTTTTAGTTAAAGTTTTTCTCGTGTTTTGAATGTAAACAATATTTTTTTTAATTTTTTTTTTTTTTTTCTTAAAGAAATAATTTTTTTTTTTTTTTTCAGGTCAATGTCACTGCGTATTTCACTAAACTTATTAGTAATCTTTCGTAGTCCTCTTAAATAAAATCTGATGATATTTTCTAATACTGATTTAGCTAAGCTTTAAGTGCTCTATTCAACGAAATCCCCTTATTTATAGTCAGAAAACATCGGATGTAGAATGGTTCACTGGTTTTAGACTTTGAAGCGAGAAATCCTACTCACAAGTTTTAGTATGCGCCACCATATGACCACACTATGCGATGGGATAAAGGAAAAGTCCTAAAATACGGTTTAGTTAAGTGCGATGACTGGTCATTAAAAAACTTGTTCAACGAAATACTGGAAGCCGCCAGAATGGTTCAACACCCACTGTGATCAGAAAGTCCCTCAATCAACAATATTTCAGTACTGTATGCTAAAACAAATCAGAAACTCCTTACCGACTAGTTTTCGTCTTTAAATTCAGATTGGTGACATTTTTCTATCATAATGAAGCCCGATTGATCCGGTGTTTTCTCAGAGTGGAAAGCGCTTTGCTTGACTGGATGTTGATTGATGGTCTAGATAGTGCCTGGTTGTATCGTAAGAAAACTAAATGACTGTAATAAGAGCTAATTATTTTGTATAATACTTTGGAAGATTCAATACATACTTGGAAGGTCTAACCGTGGAATGACGAAGTTTCCACATACCCGCTTGAGCGATAAGGTCACTAGGTAAAGTTCCCTTCATACAATTATCTCCTGGCGTCAAAAAATATATATCTTAGGAGGTTATGAAAACAACCTGCGGGCTCAAGTGGGTCAGCGTTTAAAAAGTCTGGTGGGAGGAATGATGTTCACCGTGATTATAACACTTAAAGAAGTAATCACGCAGTCAGGGATAGTGTGCTGTAGGCTAATAATTTTGGGGAACTATTTGCGACTACACCATCATTGAAAGTACGCGTGAACTTAGAGACGGCCGTTATAGTCAGTTTATTTTCTGCATGAAATCACTATTTCTTAATCTCTTTTCATATTTTTAAAACATTTGCGGCACGCAACTTCGTCTCGTTAATCACTGTATTTGAATCCGTTGAGGGAAAAATCGTAGAATTCAACCACCTTTTGTTACATATACACAAATGTGCAGCCTTGTTGAGAAGAAACGCTTTCGTTGTAATCGTCCTTTTGTTTATCTCATGAATAAATGAGTTTGTTTTGCGTTTCCACCGAAATACACATTCAATTTTTCTAGTTGAACGGCAAGCAACTTGGTGCTGTATCATCGTGGCTGAGCAGTTTGTGCACGATTTCGGCATCTAATAGCAATAAATACCCTAATCTTGGTGCTGTGCACTAAAGCAGTGAACCACACCAATTTCGCAGAACCTAAAGACACCACTTACCTTAATTTAGGAAGTCACAAATAAAATCATGCTGAGCTGCTCGAAATAAGGTTCCTAAGTCGACGAACCTCATCGCTCTACTTAACAAAATTTTGTTATTAAAAACGCAAAATCGGCACGTTATGGGCAGCACACAGAAACCCACAGTTTGTGAGGGGAATTAGAATGCTACGTGAGCGCCCAAACCAAAGAAGGCTACTGTTTTAAGGGACTGCACCCCGGAGGCTTTGACTTGAGGTCGCATGCATAAGGTAGTGGAAAAGCATTGTGAACTGCGTTCCCATAGTTGAAGGTGACCGAAACAGGTTCATACGCCATTAGATCCTTTCGGATTCTAGAGGTTGTGTACGCGATAGGTTTGGATTTAGGCTTTTTCAGCTCCCCTACGTAGATCAACAAGTCTACCAGTCCGTTTTTAAGCGGTAGAACACATTCACCCTTTCACTATTGTGAAAAACATCCCCGCAACTTGAAGTTAGTGAATAGGACTAATTGCCTGACAGAGGGTATGAAGGCGTGACCACATGAAAACATTTCGAGGAAGATTGAAGTCTACCTACTCTCAGCTGTACGAGGTCGTTTATGGTGGCCTAAATACAGATACTCACCGTCAGAACTATACTACTCAGTTTAAAGATATTCGAGACAATTATTATGACACCGTAGGGAAAGCAATCTTCGTGTTAAATCTTGTGATCCTCTTGATACACTGCAGTTTCCAATATAGAAGAGAAATCCCCATTTAGAAATTCAGAAAGCAAAAGGATTGAGCCAAGAAATATTTACTGTTCAATTACATCCTCATTTCTGTCTATATTCTAATATATATATATATATATATATATATATATATATATATATATATATATATATACCGATCAAGTGGCGATGTTTGTTAACAATATTTACTATCAACAATATATATATATATATATTTTGAGAGGGAGAGAGAGATGAGGATCTACTTGAATAGTAAATATTTCTTCGCTCAATTCTTTTGCTTTCTACACTGAAGTCTATTTGAAATTATAACAGTAAACCGAAACAGTTCCAACACGTTTGAAGTAGAACGCATTTAAAAAGAAAAGGCCAACTTGAACAACCGATGTATTTTGTTAACGCTTAGGCAAAATCAAATTTTAAGAGATGATTGCTATTTTATTGTCTGTTTAGCAATCCTAATAACACGAAGCCATTATCAAATCAATAGAGACAAGCAACATCTTCATTCGACTACGACATATCCAAGCTCAACTGACAAAATGAAATCTTTCATAGATGGATAAATCTTTACGAACAAAGAAAAGACCATCAAGATTCACAGACGCATACGATATGAATGTTATAACTAAATACCGGGCACATAAATATTTGATAGTAACACCTACAAACAAGCGAAAGAATTATTCAAATTTCATTATTTAAAGAAAATTACGCCAGTTAAAGCTGGAAGAAACACGCACGCACACACACACAAAATAAAAGACAGAGTGAGTTAAAGCCTAAGCCTTTATGTTGCAAAACAAAAAAGATGATCATCACAGATTTGGTTCACGGGTGAATATTATATAGCGAGGGAGAGGAGAAGAGAAAATAAATTTTCTTTTCGTGATTCAAACAAAAACAAAAAAAGAAACTCAAAAATTTTAAGAACGTAAATATAGTTTTTTCTTCCAAATAGAGGTATATAAAGTTAAACTAGTTAGTATATATAAAGCCTGCAAAATGAACAAATAAGCTGTACATATTCACGCATGGATTGATAAATAAATACATATACATTTATTAAGGAGGTAAGAATGAATATATATATATATATATATATATATATATATATATAGGCCAAATTTAACAAATTAAGTTAACTGAAATGAGACACCGAAGCTGGTGACGGGTAAACTTGAAGGCAGCCGACAATTAAGGCTATAAATATGCATGTATGAATGTATAGTGGTAGTGTGCCAGATGAAATAACATCCGCAGCCAAAGAATTTTCAGAGTGACGTAGAATAAATGGATTTATTTAGGTATTTAACAACCACAGGTTTTCCATTGAGTCTCTTGAGGCGGTTCCATTGGTTTCAATTCAATATCTGGAGGAAATTTTGGATAAACACAAAACCAAGTAGAGATATATATCATAACGTTTCGAGAAGGAGGATACAAGGTTGTGAACAGACAGTGCAGCATAATCGTAGTGTTTAGTTGTTTTAAAAAATATCCAAGTTAAGGATGAAAAAGCCTCGAGGATATGGTATTTGAATGCTTTGAAATTTAAAGTTTTATACATTCAATAATAAAAACACACACACATGTTACTGAATACAGCTAGATAAACGCGTTATTATCCTGCTCAAATTAGAAGCGCTGATAGATCCATATAAGTGAGGATAGTAATTTTGTCAGTTGAAGTGTTAGTTGAATCTAACGATGAAAAAGCTTTAAACTCCCTAAAGTTATAAGAGAAGAACCAACAACTAGAGAGTGCTGTGCAAAACACACATCTGTGGATAATTGGTGATGCATATAGCTTAGAGTAACTCTTCACACAAGCAAACAAACAAAAAACTTACTTCGCTCAAAAATAGGAATACTTCAAATAAAAATTTCAAATAACATGAACACTAAAAATGCAAAACACACCCCTTCGTTCAAAAAAACAAAAAAAGAACTAGCCATAGCCACTATATATACACATTTCAAACTAAGATGATGATGATGATATATCACCACACAAAAAATCGACCAAACTCTTCAGCGAGAAAAAATATCACCCAAATCTACATGTGTGCATTGAAATAATTGTTTGCTTTTAAGAGATAGATAAATGTGCGCACAGACTTTTGCTATTGGGTAAAAATAAAAATGTGCACAAGAGTTACACAGAGGCTTACACAATTAAAAGCGAGTCAGCACCAGCAAACTCGCTTGTTATAATCGGTGTCTTTAGCGACATCGTGTAATTTGACCTCGATGACTAAATTTTATTAAACAAGAAACATTTACAGAAAAACAACACACACACACGGTGAAATTTGTAAACACAAACAAACACCAAGTTCCAAAAGAGAAATTATTCAAATCAAGGAGAAAAGCAAGGTAAATGAATTAAATTTTCATGAAATTTCAATTCCAGTGAAAACAATAGAACATCATATCTGGTTTACTGTGAAATATATATAACAAAAATACCCATCCAGGCACTAAAAGAAGAACGAACAGTTCACCGAAGTCTCTTTTCCAAGAATTCATTGATTTAGCTACACGACCGGAAATATATATATATATACATATAATTATTTTTGTATGTGTGTGTGCATAGCACAGGAATAAAAATTAGGGTATCGACCAGAAAGATATCGAACGCCCTAAAAAATAGCATTCTTCGCTTCTACCTAATGACTGATATTCTCTCTTGTTCTCCAATAATCTCTAGAGATTAACTATTGCATCTACCAATTTACTTGTTTTCATGCAGCGAGTACTATAGATCGCTCGATGCGTGTTTTTATCCAAAAGAGTCAAAGAACAATAAGGAGTGTCATAAATGAACATATATTCGACACTGGTCACTCAATATGCAAGAAGAATTCATTCAAAGTTATCTACAGAATCAGAAGAATCCTGCTGCTGCTGGATTCAACATAGAACTTGGCACCGAAGTGCAGCATTCGAGTTGCCACGTTCCAAATAGCACACAAAGGTAGACAAGAAAATGAGTGAAGAGAATCAATAGAGTTTTGACAATATAGTGAAACAGAATGAGTAATATAGAAAGGAATATGAAGGTTAAAGAGACTGAATACATTGCGCATACATTAGCTATTACATTTCAGAAGAATCCTCCCTAAAACGCATTTCCCAAACCTTAGAGATTCGGATGGAAAGCCACGATTTATACATACCGAAGAAACTTATCTATCTCTTTCTTCTACCTTGGGTATAATTCCAGGTTCAACTGTCATTAATACATTTTTGTGCAATTCTCGTATGACATTTATTATCGTCATCATTTTCTTAACTAAACCTTTGTTTACCCCATGCGCCTACTATATAATTTATTTTGATACTTGTCTCTGTACTCTTCATTTAACATTCAATTTTTTCTAGGCTTGTATTATCTGTCAGCAAATGTTTAAGTCTGAGGGGTTTGACGATTTCTAAGGTTTTTTAACAACCGCGAAACATAACAGGTTGATTGTACATATGTAGACAGGCTACACACCACGTTAACTCGGATAGAAAATGGATACTACTCTGAATTCTACCAATATACTCAATTCAAGATTTATGAATGTCCTATATCAAGCTTCAGATCACTCTATATGCACAGTATGACGACCATCCGTCCAAAGTACAGCGGGATTATTTTCTAGTATGCTAGTATGCTTAGCTGGAATTGGGAAATTATGTCTACTATGTCTAACTGTTAAATAAGTATGGGAACATTCTTCTTCATATTAATGAACTAATGAACAGTTTCGAGGTGAAAGGAAATGTGTATTTTGAGTTTACTGTCATTACTATAATTGACTAGAATTCATGACAGTTATGGGCGGACTTTTCGACTACAAGCCATTTATTTAATATGCTTATAACTTTTTTCCAGGCTTTCTTACTTGAGATTTCAGAGAGGCAGAAATGTATAGTAAAATGTTTAAGGCTAAAATAAGTCTATACATACTGCTGTGATACACACCTAACTCAAAAACATATTTTATAACTCTGGATGACAGTGGAAAATATTTCTAATCTAATATGTCTACACTCACAATTTCTTAATGCAAAAATAGAATGGTAGATGAGTGGAACGTCAGCGCTTTGGGAATATCTAATATAAGGTATCATTTATTCGAACGTGACCCAGCACGTATCCGAGTGAGTGAGAACTACTCAAAATTAAATAGAGAATAATTATGTACTAATACTTGGAATTGCGAAGTATCAAGTGATGCACAACGGAAAACTCAAAAAAGCCTTTGAAATGAAGACAGAATGGAGTAAGACAAGACTGCCTACTATAACCGATGATATTCCTAATTGTGGTGTACTGGATTATGCAGCTGTCTATGGGAAGCGAAAAGATAGGAATACGTTGCACCAATAAGAAGACACTAGACGACCTTGACTCTGTGGACGACTTATGTCTGATGTCACATAAACCTGATGACTTACGGGTGAAAAACAACCAGTGGGCAAAATAGACAGACAGCACAGACAGGACTTGAAGTGAACATGCAGAAGACAGACAACAACAAGTACTAATTACTATCAAAGGCATACATTTGAAAGAAGTCACTCACTTCACCTAGCTAGCCAGCATAGTTCCAACTACAAGCGACAGTACAGATGACGATGTCAAAACCAGAATCGGAAAGGTGAGACGGATCTTCATCACCCTGAAATCAGTCTGGAAATTTGCACTCAGCACAGAGAACAAATCCGGATTTGCAACACTAACGTTGAGCAAGACAGTTCCATATGGGTCAAAAATTTGGCGCATCATGGAAAGCATTTCCAGTGGGCTACTGCAGACTTTTGTCAACAGCTGCCTTTGTTTCATATTGACGATCAAATAGCCCGAAAGATTCACAACAGGAAACCCTGGAGATAAACCAACCAAGAATCCACAGCTCAACAAATATTCCGAAGAAAATGGAGGTGAGCAGGACGCACGCTGAGGAGACCGTTGGGCGACATCGCCCACCAATCCCTAGAGAGGAGCACATATGGGAAATGACGGGTTGAGTAACTGTGAGTGACATCGTGTAGACGAAAGCCTACGGGCAGTTGTGGGGCTAGCTAATGAGGACTGTAGGGAATAGGACATAGTGGAACCCAAGGAAATAATAAATAACTGGACTGAATAATTTACAAATATTATAGTTAAACACAATGGTGGACACTAGTAAGTTAAATCATAATGTTAAACATAAAAGTTCCGTAAAATGAAATTAAAATTGATACTTCCTCATACACACACACACACACTAGATCATGAATCAAGTCGTACATTCTAGACCTACGGATATAGCCTCCTCAGAGAGTGAAATGGATTAAATCTCCTGTTTTCTACTTATTTTGTGAGAAAGGATAGGGTAGAATTTTAATCATTCAGTAGGTACTACAACGTTAAATAAAACGATAGTGAAGTAAGGTTTAAAGAAAGGAATTCCCTACTGCTGTAGGCGTTTAAAACTGGTAAGAAGTTTCCACATCTATACTTAAGTGTTGAACCTGCACACGGACAAACTAAGAACATATATAAATAAATAACCCGAAAGGATACAGTCATCATGGCGAGGAGCTGGGTTCTCTCGATTGAGTAGCTCTGTTGCAATCCGACGAAACAGCTGAAAATGGAAAACAAACAAATAATAAGATAACGATGTTTATAAATTATTCTAACAAACACTTGCCCAAACACTAGTACAGATTAATAAGTGGTCGCAGTAAGAATACTGCAGTCAGAAAGTTGAAAATAAAATGCAATAAAGGTAAGTGTAGATTATAAGATGAGTCCCTTGATTTATTTGAAATAAATGGTTATAAACAGTTGAGGAAATGACTGCAAACAGGTATGTAACCTTCGCTGATTCTAGTTTGGCCGACTGACCTAATGTAAAACTTTGTAAAATAAGACAGTTCAAGTTCCTAAGAAGCAAATACATCTGCACCATGGTAAGGGATTATGTGCAATGTCGAGAGAAACTCCAACCACTGATCCATGGCATCCCAGGGGAAATAGTTCACTGACTGTGGCATTTCAACTTACCACCTATAGGTCACACGTTCAAATCCCGTTCTATCCATTTTAGCCTAGGCGACTAGATAGCACTACCAACTTTTGCATGATCAGTGTAGCCTAGGCTAGTACATGAAAGATTCGTCCCGGGTAAGTGAGTTCAAATAAGAAAAACCTTAATTACATCAAATACATTAATATATCCATAATAAAACTGGTAGTGTTGTGATAGTATTATGGCAGTGCTTACTCCGTAGACGTCAGTCGTCATTTTAATTATTAAGCCCTTTTACGTTCTTACACTGTAGGGTGAGTTCTAATAAATCGCATTCATTAGTACAACATAATTTTCCGTCGTTCCTCCACAACTAAGCATTGCCATAAAACCAATTCTCTGACAGAGTTGAGTGCCACCTTAAGGTCACGAAATGTGTAGGAGATCAGTAGCCAAACGAATCCCAACCCATTTACATAAATGGACTTTGGACAATTAGGTGTAATTACGATTATTTGAAAGCAAATTTTAGAAAAATAACCTGTGGAAAACTACTCTTCAAGAAACAACTGTTATTGGTATCCCAATAAACAGAGGTTCAATCGGAAATAGGAACGCAAAATACTCACTATATGATCTTGGAAAGCTTTCCAGAAGTCATTCAGTTCGCGTTTAAACAGACAGAAAATAAAAATATACTTAACTCCAGAGATAAAATGACAATAATACTCGATAGCCTGGTTGTTTGTTTGGGACACTAAGTCGGTCATAGGAACTTCACTTTTTGTTAATTTAAATATCCCCATTATGATAGATAACACAGTAAATAAGTATTTTCGGTAGTTTCTAGTCAGGCTTTATTCGGCACAGACATTTAATACCGTCGTAGTTAAGAGAGTTAAAGTTCAGGCATGTAAATCGGTGGGATATAGTCAAGGAAATGTGAGGACATGGTTCACTGGCTCAAGTGCTTGACTTCGAGTCACTGAGTCCCGGGTTCAAATCCCATCCCACCTACTAAAGCTCAGGAAACCAGCCCTCATACAATAAGTGGCCTAGAACCTGGAACATGAAAGACCTGTGCGGGGAACTGAGTTCAAACACAACCAAGGGAATGATAATAAAAAACCATGTGAATGCCTACATAAAGTTTACTAGCATAAAACACGAATAATAATAGTAAATAAGATAATGACACAACAAAAATAATATTGGAAGATTCATGATTTCATCGAGAAATGAAACTATTAGTTATATCTGGGATGAAAGCGGAGGCCATAGACTATTTACATTTTTACACTAAAACAGCACGAATGCTAACGATCGGTAAACGTTTAGTATGGGTCATCTACTAACCAAGTCCATCTATGAAGGTGGAAAATGAACCTCTTCCATTTTTCGATGTTCTGCTTTCAAAGTGATCAAATAGTAAGCACTAAGTAAAGTATTTTCATAGGTAGTTACATGAATCAGAACACTTTCCTAACACCATGTTACTCTTGCCTACAAAAATTCGATCAGCAACCTGTTTTCATCTAAGAAAATTTGTATAACTGACCCAGTGAACGATGAAAGAAGGAACCCACCATACGGGAATAGATATCCAGAAGTTAGTAAAAGTTGATACAGTATGAATAATTCGAGAAGGATGCTCGCAGACGACGCTTAAAAACCACTTATTAAAAATCGTTTAAACGAAAACCAGATGTCACTTCATTGACATTGGAAAAACAACAGTCGAATTGTTGAGGCAACATCATGTGAAAATTCCACGATTGTGGAATATGAGATAACCTTCATACCTAGTCTCTATTCCTGCACATATACAAACTATTGACACATTTACAACGACCCGCTACCCAGATTATGTGGATATTTGCATTATTTCTTCTAGTATGATTATGTACTGTATCATTACACAGTAGTTCATAAACACTGTTCTACACAAATGCAAGCATAAGCTGAAGTAATTAGGAAAAACTTTGAATTTAAAATGAGCAGACAAATATGTTATATATTATGATATCTTTTAAGAAAAAGGTTGCTTATCAAACATATAGCAGGGGGCAACTAACTAGGCGTACCATGGAGTAAAATTGACTGCCTCGTAAGTACTGTCATAATAAAGTAAGCACTAGTTTTTAAACAGCAATGTGTTTTTAAACATTTAAATACAAACCACAACTTTATAATGGGGTTAATCCCAAGTTAGTTTAAAAAAAGGTCAATTAAACGTGATTTCAAATGATTACTCACAACTTTGACATTATATCCAGCCTTGGCGCTTGTTTCAATAAACATAACATTGAGCTGGTTAGCCTTTCGCTCACCTTCTTCTGTGGTCACCTTCCTACAAAATTCACACGTGAAAGTGTAACACTACCTTTTTTCTGACAGGTCTGTTTTGTTGCCAACTAGCATTATTATAACGTCACTACCACGTTCATTCCTGACATCATCTATCCATTTCGAAGTTAGTTGAAAGGAATCAACGTCTGCGAAGTAAGCTTTTAGAAAAACACATACTGCATATATCATAAACCACGACAGCAACTGATGAGTCACGTATGTAACTAGGAATTAAGCTTCGAAAACGCTCCTGTCCGGCTGTGTCCCAAAGTTGTAGACGGATCTGAGGTGTAAATTAAGTAAATGAAACTTACAGTTCTGTCTTCAAGGTACATAGTCTTCGACAAGAAATCGATACCGATAGTGGCCTTACAGACAAATAGGTAATTACTTCGACATTAGAACACACCTGGTAAAGGTTATCAAAAGTCTCGTACATAAATCGAGTTATAAGTGACGTTTTCCCAACTGAAGTAGAAAAGGATCATAATACAATATCGAAAACTAACCACTCTGCTCCCCTAAAAATACTAGTTTGAACTTCCTCAAGGGATTATTAAAATCAGCCATCTGGGAAGCACAAGGAGAAAGCCACGCGAATTGCCGCCACAACCAAAATTAGGACGAACAAACAATGATAACGTCACGAGAACGAAGTTGGTAAAAACTTAACTAGGAGGCAGGAATCTGTTACTGTGTGCACGAATTAGCTTTAAAGTAATTTCTGCAACTAGACAAACCTTCATTCAGGAAGTTTAAGGAAGACAAAAGATGCATATATATACGAAGTCAACAAATGGGTTGGAAAATTTCAGAATATCCAACACCATGACAGTTGAAACTAAGCATCTAAATGTCAGCAGCACACTATGAACAGAAGTCAGAAACAAAGTGTATATTCAGTATCTGTCATGGACATGAAGTGCACCTTCTCTTGCATCCAAATTAAACCAAGAATTAAAATAAACACATCAAACTGAGCCAACCTAATGCTAGCCAAATGAAAACTGAACGTGCATAAGGATGCTTCAGGTTCTCAGTTTTGGTTCTAATGGGTATGCGTCCAATCAGGCTCGGACCACAATCCCACACATCTTTGTTGTGCTGATAACACTAAGATCCTCAAAGACTGTAGTTCATTCATCCTAGTAAGATAAAACCCTTTCCCCTAAAAAGTCTGATCATTTGGTTGTTTGCTCATCAAGGCGTATATCTGAGTAAATGAGTCTGTTTTACTCGTGTTTTGTATTCAGTGCTTTCAGGTAGTGATTTCACCATATGAATGGGCACCAAGGCGAGATGCGTTTGTTAACTCCGATATTGTCAGTCTTCTAAAACGCGACATGCTATGTTAACTGAGATAATTCAATCTTAAGCAAGATATGCTTTACATGTTCGCTGGAGATTATACATACACTTGATAAATGTTAATCCCAGTAGTATAAAACAGCCTTTTCACTTATATAATCTTTCTGTGCAAAGTTGGAAAATCTGCTAGATTGTCAGTGATGCAAACAAACTTATTTTCCAAGGTGAGAATATAATTCAGATATAAGTTCATCACATTATCTAAGGAGTTTTTTGGTTTTAATTTTTTGAGATACGTATCTATTAGTTTTTAAATTATATAGTAAATAATCAAGAGATTCGGGAGGACAGAACGAGCAACTAAGCAGGAGCTATACCTTGATATAAGAATAAAACTTGTGCTTTGTGGTAGAGTATAATTCCACCACGGGTAAAATTTGTTTTGATAAAGTCTCACGGTGTTATACAGTAATGTTTACTGATGACGTTTCGAGCACAATTTATTGAGATATCATAGCACCTTGATATGATTATGAGCAATAAATTGTGCTAGGAACGTCATCAGTAAACATACTGTATAACACCGTGAGACTTTATCAACACAAATTTTACCCATTAAGGAACTACAACATTTTATGACTGGTAAAGTTTTCTTTGTCTATTGAATGATGAACGCCCTTCATTTTGTTAGACTAGGTATTCGCTGCTCAACTTGCTCTCTGCCTTGCTTACAAAAATAAAAGTTTCGCAAACACAACTGACCTTCTTCCATAATACGAGTACTAGGTAGGCGATATGAGTAACTATTTTGGTTGAAAAGCTGGTTCCTAAATTGGTGGGCCTGTTCAATTCACGCTTTGCCCTCTGTTTTAGTATATCTATCTATCTATCTACGTATCTGCCATTTTTGGTATATTTTCGGATTTCCTTTAGTTTTACTCACGCTGATACGTACGCTAAATTTCAATAGTCGTAATTAATTGTGATGCTTCATTCATCCTACATGGAAACTTAATCTAAAAACTCTACTTCTGAGTAGGTGGATTCTGTGGTAGGCAACAAAATTAGGTTACCTGAATTTGATCGACGCAACACGCAACTGTGGCACTACACTGACTGATATAGCGCCAAGTGTGAAACCACCACATTTAGGGATGTGTATTTTCAGCAAACTTAAGAAATTGGTAGGGGTTTGTAGGGCCTTATACTTCCTCCTAACTCCCCAAACTAGCTACTATGCACCATGCTATATGTGATGTGATAAAACACCTATCCATGTCAAAAAACCGGCGCACACAGCGATTAATTCAAGGGGCGAACATGAAAGATGGATCAACATCAAATATTTCCCGCAGAATACAGCAGATCGAAAGGACTGTGTTGAAGCAGGCTTGAATGCAAGCCGTCCCGGAGTTCGCGCCACAGTCACTAAACGCACGAGATACTGACTCTTCTATCAAACACTTAGCTTGCATAAATGCCCGGATGTTCGAAACGAGACAACTTACGGGCAGATGTCAACAACAGCACGAAGAATATATTCCATAGCCTGAAGACAACTCTCCGTAACTAAGAATGCTATTTAACGAATATAATAACAAACTAGATTTCAACGTAAGCAGTACTAAAATACCGACGGTAAGTTTAAAATTTATTGATTGACGAAGTAAAGGCAAGAATTGCAAGTAATTTCCACGGAAGCGCGCCCATATGATTCAGGGTTGGTTTCCATCAACACACTGGAAAAATTGTACAAATAACATCAGCGTATCTTTCAGCAATAAATATTCCACACCTTGGGAACAGCAGCCATCTGAAATTAGATCTTGTAAAAGCCTCGATGGGCTCAAACAGAGGCCAGAAAGACATATTAAAATGTCCACCCTAGCTCGTCTAGAAGCACAAAAGTTGGTGAAATGCTAAACTCAAGCCAGTCCAATGATCAGTAGAAACAAATCCAAACAAACCAACCCGACTGCATATGTGTCGAACGTTTTACCAATTTTCTCGATTTCCATTCTGTGTAACGTTCAAAAACTTGTGTTAGCAGAAATGATTTTAGGAATAGTTATATTAGTGATTGACATATGTATAACTAAAAATACACTGCTATTTTTGTGTCTAGATGACCTTATTCGGTCAGTAACTACATCTTAAAAAGGTATACCTCTAAAATGTATAATTTTATAACATTTTGCAGTATTTTTAACATAACATAAATTGAAAGGTTACTTTGTAATATCTGACGTATATCATATGAAAATCAGTCATGAAAACTTGGCATTACTAGTTCTGTTAACCAGCTGTTTTCTTCAGGATCATTCTACATAATTTTATCACCAATTGTTCCACTACCCATTTAACTCTGCCAAGCAGACTTTTACTTAGTTGCTGTATTATTAGCTACTTCTATACTTTATAAATTTTAAAGAGAAACCTACTTTCCTAGTCATTTGAAACAAGTACTTATCTACATGTATATATGTATTAAGATGACACTGCTAAGAATGTCCTCAGATACCGATGTATCTGGTGACCTGATGGGAAGCTAACATAAAAAAGAGAGGGTGGCAAATTCTCATCGGCAGATATGGTAGTGGTCATAAATGTGAATCGCTCCGATCTATAGGACAGCAACATGCATTTTTGACAGCTCGAGAATTAAACATCAGTCTGGATCCTCAACAAAAAGTACAACAATAGTTGTACAGATCTAAATAACAAAAAAACGCTCTTCCTCCTACAATCTACAAGCCTGTTCAGCTTCTTGTCAAGATGCTACCCCATGGACCCTACAGAAATTCGCGAGACATCTTACGGGTCAGCTTGTCCTACGGGTTCTAATCTTCCAGATCTTTGAATTCCCTTCTCACTCAAACATCAGTTATCTACCTCACGATAATCATTTTATTTACGCACCACTAAACTCAATTTTATCTTAACTACCTAGGCCTTTAATAAAGCTAAAACTTAGTCTTTGTTCAAATTCGTTGCTTCCTTAAGGTCTGGATGCTTCGATTAAAAACACAACAACACCAATGTCTGAACAAAGCCATATTTTCGTCGGAAACGTCACAGTTTCCATGCTTAGACCAGTAGGATTAGCATTGAATATTGCAAATGCATACTGTCATTCCAAGGAGTCTTCACCTCCTTCTTGTATATATCTTGTAAATGTACTTCCATTGATGTATTATCCATGATTGCATTTTATGCCATTTCGCAGTTTCCCAGGACGTTTACTTATTCCGGAAATAGCGTGCAATCACTTGGTCGGATCTGCTTCGTCGTGCCCTCAATCGACATGAAATTAACTATGAAATCTGATGACCTGCTTATATTACGGATGGTTATTGGCCTATTCTTGAGGTGTTCTAGTGACTTAACACTCTCCAATCAAGTGGAATCGCGAACTCGAAAGTCGAGGATGCTCATAGGATGCATATTCAGGAACTTTCACATTAAAGAGGCCAAGCTGATTCTGTACAAAGCATGTGTAAAGCCAATACTAGAACACTTCCCATTGATTGTTAGCATGACTCACACACGGGACAAGCTAAGGATGGAAAGTATCCAACTATATTTCACATCCAAATTACTTGGCTACGATGGTAGGAAAGGTCACATCCCACAGTGCATGGTTTTATATTTTGACCCATTTTGGACGAGACGACTTATTATAATTATTGATATAAGTATAAAACTTGGGCACTGTGGTAGAGTATAACTCCAAAACGGTTAAGATTTTATTTTGATAAATCACACAGTGTTGTACAGTTATATTAACTGATGACGCTTCGAGCACAAACCATTGCCACTCATAATCATATCAAGTTACTCACACAACTTCTTTCCTTCATTTATATACATGTGTGCAATCGATTAGATATTGGAATAAAATTCAATATGAGATAATGTACATTCAGAAATAATAGTACGAGTGTTATTAATCCATTACAATTAGATGGGAAATACGACGAGTGTTTTTATAATCATAATAAGTTGATTGTTAGAATGTTTTGATGTGTTTGAATTGAAGTGAGTACTTGATATGATTATGAGTGGCAATAGTTTGTGTCGAA